AAGATATGATTAAATATCTAATAGAATAATACCGAAAAATAGAATTTTATTCACCTGTTGGGAGATATTATCTCAAAACAAAACCTCCTATCTGAATTATTCAACAAGGGTTTAATATGACAAACTCTTAAAGAAATCGAAGTAGGTTCATCGTCATTTGTTCCCTATAAATATCAATCCTTAGATATTTTTATTCCAAAAAGAAATCATATTCGAAAATAACTACCTTCCCATTTCTGCTACAGTAATATAAATGTTCATCTGAAATGGTGAAATATTTACGAGTCCATGACTGGATCACTCGTTGATTTCCTTTCATGAACAAATATCCCGATTTGGTAGCAGATGTTGACGCCACAACTATATTATCATCAGTAGGATCTTTGGGAATACGTATTGGATTATATGATGCTCTAGCTTCCTAAGAAAGAAAATCCCGACTTGCGGTTAATGTTAATTACATTAAATATGATTAAATAAACAACTTACATCCAAAAGCTTTTCCTTTAATACTTGTGATTCTGCGACATCATCGTTATAAGATGTCCTAGCCTATACATAAAAGCAAAGTAAAATTAAATAAATTAAGACAACTACATCTAAAATAAAAATTATAATCATAATTTACCTCTTGAAGTAATCCTATAAATTTTAAATATTATAATATTATTATTAAAATAATCAAATACGTGAAAAATTGTTAAAACCAAATATTCTAATTAAATGAATCTTAACTTGTAACATCTTTCATATGTGGTTCCAAATCTTTCATAATATCATAACCTTGATGATAAAATGATGATTCAGTAAACATCAATGCTAATATCTATAAATAAAGTAAAAACAAATTTTAGCTGTAATGATCTTTAATATTCAATAAAATAACATTAAATAAAAGAAATTTGCAACTTTACGTATTCCATGAATTCGAATTTCTTTTTTGCCTCTAATTCATTTATTTTCACTACATAATCAATATATCGATTATGGAATTCTCTTCGAGTATATGCCACTTCAATTGATGCCTAAACAATTTTATTATTAATATTACAAAAATAAAATAATTGTATAATTGTATAATACTAACATCAGCAATCATAGAGTCTTTAGGTTTTTTGCTCATATATCTGGAAAGAGCAGTGTCAGCTTCATAACAAGCCCTTTCAACAACTTTCTTTACTTCCTAAAAAATATTTAAAGAATTTATAAGCAACGCTCAATAAACATAAAATTTTCTTAATATCCCGCACTCACCTTTAAAGGAATTATTTCATTTTTAGCAAAAGCTTCCAATGGCTCTATGAACATGTCATACATATGAGAGTTCTTCGAATGGGAAACTTCATCATTAATTGAACTGAATTAAGAATAATTAGAATTAATTAATTAATAATTACCAGAATTCTGCGGCTTCTTTCAACTTCTTGAAGTGAAAAGGCATATTTTGAAAGGACAGTTTCTATAATGTTGAATGATTCACATAATTAATTAAAATTTCAATTCATCTCATATAATAAAATATAATAAAGGTAGCCTACTAATAATTGATTCGGGTTGTTGTTTTGCAAAATTTCCAAGTTCTTCGGCAAATTGAAGTTGTTTCGCTGTATACTCTAAAACGAAGTGCAATTACAAAAATAAAGTAAAGGTTCAACACTTGACAAGCCGCTTTATTAATGATAAAATAAAAAGCAAAGAATTCCAACCTGAAGCTAATTCAACACTTGATCTTGCTAATTTGACAAGATTTTTTATAGTATTCTCGAGTCCAAAAACCGAATTTTCACATTCTGCTAATTCTTTACGAAATTGTGGAGGATCTTCTTGACACAAATGAAGTTTTAAAGGGGCTGTCATACTTTAACGACAAATTGCGAAAACTAATTCTGTAAATACAAAAAAAAAAGAAAAAAACACGAAAATACACCTTAAATAGGTTTTTTTTGATTGTGTTACGCGAGAATATTTTGGATATATAGAAAGGGGAAAATAAAAAAATGTGTCAATTCTAAATCTGTATTTCAGCCCTAAAAAATAAATTTTTCCCGGCAGTTTCTCCCTTTCTAAGCAAAGGTCTCACATGAGACACTAATTTTCATCGTCCTAAACTGGTTCGGGTTTTGAATTTAACCAAGTTTTACCAATTTAGTCATAGGTTTCGTTTCAGCATTCATTAGATATAGGAATAAGAAAGGGCTGTGGCTATGTCAAAAATATCTGACTCATAACAACAAGCCACTTCTGATGACTAACCAAGGTTACAATTAAGATTTTTGCAAACAATATAGGTTTATTTTTTTTTTTGAATAAGAAAAAAAACCAAGGAGACATAAATAGGATAGTTAAAGGCTTAATTTTTTTGTACTAACCATCTTTTTTCTCTGATTTTGAAAAATACGAAAGAACGTGTTCTTTTTTAGTGATGAGGTGAATTAAAAAGTTAAAATAATTTTTGTCAAATATTTTATAATAAATTTGTTCTTAATTGAAGTCCCATAGAGGATCAAAGGGAACTTTTAGATTTGATACTATGCTTAATCGAGACGTAAAATTAAAATCGAAAAATTTTGCTCTAAATTATGAGGAAGAATTGAAAAGAATACAAATCATTTTTATCAAAACAGATAACAATAACAGGGAATTACATTTAATAAATGAACAAAGAAAATCCTGGTGGTAATTTATTAATAAAGCGTCAAAAAATCGCTACGGTGGCGCAGTTTTACAATGAGCTAATAAATATAACAATTTACAAATAATTTTTCGCTTTTTATTTTAAATAGAAAATAATCCAAACAGCGATGCAATTGCTAAATTTGTGCTCGGATATGGATATCCCGATTTTATATTGAAGTTCAAAGATAATGATAAAGATTCAACACGAACAAGAACGACAACATAATTTCGAACGTTCTGGACTAATTCTTGAACATGAAAAGGATTTACATTTGAAATGTATGTAAAAGTTTTCGCACCATCTAGAGATTATGTGAAGAAGCGAAAAACATTAGGCTCTGATAATATTCATTTATAACAATGTATAATTAATTTAACTCGAATTGCAAATTCAGGATCATTAGATCCACATTTTAAACATGAAATAAATTTTAAATAAGAGGCTCGGCTTTTTTCAGAAGAGAAGAAATTTAATTGTAATTATTGACCTTTTTCTTTTCCTTTTTCACCTTTCATTGGCTAATAAGCAATTAAAAATATTTTTTAGGTTAATCGAATAATTGGCACTGCAAATCAAATTCATATCAAATGAGTTTTTGATAATTTAGAACCGATCGTTGTTAAAAGGATTATTAAATCATTATCCATAAAAATATTACGCGAAAATAAAACTTATGATGATGTTTATCCGCTTCATGATGATAAACCTACTTCAAATTTGCCTTTCGAAAAGATGAATTTGAGAGCGTAACTAAATGAATCATGGGTCAAGTCTAAAGAAGACAACCTTTAGAAATGATCAAACTATATTTCGGAGAGAAAATTGGCTTTGTACTTTGCTTGGCTCGGTAATTTTATTTATTACCTTATTTATTTCGATAACGTTTATTAACTACTTCATTTCTTTAGGTTTTTATACTACATGGCTGGCCATAGCGTCTATTATTGGAATAATTGTTATGATTAACGGATTATTAGAATATTATGTGAAGGTTTATTTTAATTTACAACCAATTATAAATCAATTATTTAGTCTCTTCTTTTCTTCTTCTTTCTTAGCTTTGGATTCGTTCTGAAAATGCAAACCAAGATATTGGGATAATGCTCTTACAGCCCCTTTTGCTTTATTCATGACTATTTGGTTATCATGTGATATATATTCACGATGCATCATTTATAGCAACATGTTTCTTAGAAATTTGGAAAGGATTTAATATCGCGATTCAATATGATTGGATGTGCTGGAATATGTAAAAGAGGTAATCCATTAATATAAATTTAACTTTTACAAGTTAAAGGTTCGTTGTTAAGCATATTAAGAATTCACAGGAATTGCCAAGGCAAGAATTCTACAGAACCGGTTTGTTTGTTATTGTCTTTTTTTCGATTTCCTCCTAAAATATAAAATATCATATCATATTCACTTTTACTAAACAGAACTGATGAAGGTCACAGATTACAATGAAACAAGAAATACATTTCCATCAAAGAAAATTCAAAAAAAATATTAATCTTTTGTTGTTTTGATTTATTTAAGTATAAAATTATGACAATGAGAATAAAAATGTAAAATGTATTGATAAACTTTAAAAAAGACCGCGATAAATAAATCACGTGAACTTTGATTAAATTATTTTCAAATCACATGATTAGATCCGCAAAAACGTGATTTAGAATCCCATAATCCGACAAAATTCTTATTTTTTCTATAAATTTACATTCATTTGCAATAAGCATAGGTAAAGTTTGATATCATTGGCTGAAGATCATCGATTGTGATTGGTTGGTTAGATTAGTTAAATAATTATGCGTGATTTTTTTTTTTGTATCACATTTAATTATTGCATATATCGCAATGGCAAAAAAAAAAAATGAAGGTCCGTGTTCTATACAAAATTGTAATAAACAAATAGGCCGCTTTCGTCAATTTACTTCCTTAGCTTATAAAAAAGCACAAGAAAATGGAACCTATATGCTTTACACATACCTAAAAGTCGGACAACAGTTATGTCATATTCATTATATGAATATTGTTGAAGCAAATCGTCACCAAAGTCCGAACTTAATATTCCTATGGAAACAGATAAAACAAATAAAGAAATAACAATATATGGTAAATATATTAATGATTTTATATTATTTTACAATGTATTTTAATAGTACTTTTTTTTTTACAGAGTCAACAAAAAATTATA